GCCTGGTCAGAGACATTCACACCAGTGATCTGCTGGAGGTCATTTTGTAGTCGGCAGCGCTCATCCTACTCCTCGTTGCACAAAGGAGCAGATACTGTACCAGTCCTGCTGATGGGTAAAGGACCCTCTACGGCCCAGTCCAGCTCTCCTATAGTAACTGTCTGTTTCCTGGAATCTCCTCCAGACTCATGAGACTGTGCCACCCTGGAGGAATTGGACTATCTTTGCAACCTTTATAGGGTCCAGATATCACCTCATGTTACCAGTAGTGACACTGACACTAACACTATCAAAACTAGTGAAAAAACCGAAAAGATTAGGATAAAAAAAATGTCAGTGGCCTCCACCTGTAAAACCATTCCTGTTTAGCTGGTTGTTTCCTTGTCGCTCCTTTAGTGCACCTGTTGTTAAATTCATTGACACCAAAGCAGCTGAAACTGATTAACAACCCTCTCTGCTACTTAACTGATCAATGTCCCAGAAGTTTAATCAACTTGATGCTCTACTCTGATTAAAAGGTTTCTTTACATTTTTAAGCAGTAAATTTTGCTGTACAATCAAGTAGACTGTATAAAACAGGGGTCGGCAACCTGCGGCTCCACGTGGTTTGGGGAAATTAATTATTTTTTTAAGTAATTAGCTGAAGTGTATTTTATTTATGTTAGTTCTTTTTTAACTTGTAGTTCTGAATTGGAAGATTATTGTGATATTGGAATATAAAAATAAAATTATATTCTATAATTTTCTTGATCAAAATAAGCGTCACACTTGCGGAAGCCGGTGTACCCGCCGAAACGCCGTGCATTTATCGAGACTTTCAACCCCAGGTAAGACAATTCTGGATCTTCGGATCCACATTATGTCAGCAGCTCCACCGTGAACTATGTTAAAAACAAACACCGCTCACGCCTCACAGACGACAGCTTACAGTCCTGCGTAAAGATGAAAGTGACTTCGTACAGCCCCGATTTGCAGACGCTGTGCGCAGAGGTTCAGGAGCAGAAGTCCCATGTAAACATACCACGGCAGGCCCGACGATGTTTGCATGAACACGCTTTTCAGCATCTCTCTATTGACCACTTTTCACACACGGTTGCTGTACGCATACAGCCGATGTTAAAGCGCACAGCCCGACACATACCAACACAACAGCATAGAGAGCACAGACGTTAAGGCGGCGAGGTGCGATTGCGGGTGCCGCTCAGGTGCGTCCGCCTCCCCTGCAGCTGCGCTGCAGACCACGCCCCGCCACACACATTAACTAGGTAAAATACATATTTAGGCAGAATATTGCAAATATCTATTTTTCATTTTTCAGCAGCATAGTGCGTTTTTTTTCCCCAATTATTTTTTTAAAAGTCAGGTCAATGCTCCAAAAGCCCAAAGGCGATATAAGGCTGGCGGCTCTCAACAGTTTTTGTTTGCTTCTTGGATCATTTTAGTTCAGCTGGGTGTCTTTCCTTTTGTTATATTTCTTTAAGAGTTCAAAATGTGTTAATTACATAAATAAAATGTAATTTTCTCTGTAGCACTTCATGGATTTAAGCAACACACCTTAGTTGTTCACACAAAGCATAAAGGTAAAAAAACAAACAATATATGCAGTGTTATCTTCATTTTATATGTCAAAAAGTATTTGCGGCTCCCAGTGTTTTCTTTTGCGTGGAAATCGCGTCCAAATGACTCTTTGGGTGTTAAAGGTTGCTGACCCCTGGTATAAAAGATGGTAGTAGTCAACAACATACCTAACGTGAAGTCTCCAACATAGCTGGTGCAATCTTGATTGACCATAATTATACAAATTATACCATCAGTGCTAAGTAAAACACAAATAAAATACTTGTACCTATCAAAACTGGAACACAAAGTTTATGGATGAGCTGTACCACACGAAGCATCCAGATGTCTGTCAAAGAGGCCACGCCCCTAACTTTAAAACCTAATAAAAAAAGAAAAGAAAACATAATCCTTGATAGCTGCAGAGATACAAAAAAAATTATCGATGGGAACAAAAAAATAAGATTTTTGTTCCAGACTGCAATCCCAATAATTTCCTCTTTAAGGTTCAGTATTTTTAACATTGAAGACTACGGAGATTGACTCACTTTTGGAGCCTGCTTCAAGTGAACTGTGAATTTTGGCATCTCTACTTTGGCTTCCTTTTTCAGCCTCCAGGGTTGCTGTTTGTGAAATAAAGACAGTGATTGTGGTTGCTTTTGACACACTGAAAAAGCTCAGTGTTCATTTCAAACAGATAGTGATAATGTACCTCCAGGGTCAAGGCCTATAATCTCCTTACCGATGAAAACATTAACAACCATGAGGAATGCAAAAATGAGATATTTCTGGCTGCCAGAACAGCTAAAACTAAATTCAAAGTTATACTAAATACATAGCTCCTCCTCCTAAGCTGCAGGCTGCTTGATCACCTTAGCAACAGCCCATATGTTTCCCATATTGTTTGTGTCTATCTAACAAGTGAGAATAGATTTTCTATTTCTATTTTATCACTGCTTTCCATTCATAGCAGAAACACGTTTATTATGCTATTCACCGAATAATAAGAGATTCAGTGCATAAAAATATTCACCCATAATCGATTTGTGACACATATCTTATAGCTAATACATTTTTTTACAGTCTACCAGTCAGTCTGTCTTTGCATTTGCAATCAGACTATGATCATTTTTAGTAACTGGCAGTATGGTGATACAATGAAGCACTTAGCTTAACAAATGCACCGTGTAGTCCCGTGTTCTACAAGTGTATAAATAAATGATGAGAGATGATACAAACCTTGTAAGGATGGTCTGAAAGAATCCTATATTAAAAATTTACTCTAGCACAGAGCTAATTATAACAACATCTTTGGACCTTTTCAGAGCAATTGTGCTTTTTCTCTTGGAAGAGTTGCCAGTAGCTGAGCCAATGTGCCCACTCTGCCCCAAGGTGGTTATTCCTCAGCTGTGAATCTCGCCTGGTGTTGAGCTCAGGTGGCACATGCTGACTTGTCCTAGAGAACGCCCCTGTGTCTTGTTTGAAGCAAGCTTGGCTCTAGGAAACAATCTCCAGGTTTCAACATCAAAACCGAGAATCAACCCCCCTAATGGGCACCCTACTGTGGGCTAGAATTAGCAGGAATAACCCCCGCCAGCAGGCTTACTTCTCTAAACGCAGGAGCCTCGAAGGACGAGGTGGAGGGCGGAGAGCGTGCGAGGCAGGGGAAGAGCGGGGAGGAGGGAAAGCAGAGGTGGACCGGTACAAGAAAGAGGGAATTATACATGTCACATACAAGCGCAACTACATTTATTAAGAGCAATGTTCACTACACCATCTGTGCGAGTTCAAACGCGCGGCGGAGGAACAAGATGATGCCCCTTTGTGCCGCGTTGCAGTCTTTCATTTTTCTGTGTAAATGTAAGACAGACATAAAACGGGACAGAGAGCTTCTGTAGAGACAGACAGCAGTCAGTGCCTGAAGCAAGCTCAGAGCTCACAGGGTAATGTATACTCGCTCCTCACCGTACCAGAGAGAAGGTGACACCAGTCAATCCCGTTCTGACAGGGCAGCTGAGATAATAGCGGGCTTTGATTCCTTGCAATAACTTCTGCCAATCAAAATGAAAGGCATCGTGATTGCAGAGAGAACCACAAGCATGCGTGCGTGCGAGTGAGTCCGGAGAAGCTTACTGTACGCTACTGTACGGACTGAGAAGTGAGATAATTGCACAGAAAATGCTCTTGTGCACTTTAAAAGGCCCTGTTGTGCTTAAAGGGGGAAAGATGGATGCAAGCAAAGGCTAGTGGTGAGCTTTTAGGGTGGGGGTGTGTGCAAGATGAATGCGCGAGTGACTTGGCCCATTTTTTGACTGTTTGCTGTCAGAGGTCAGTGGGTGGTCTGCATGTGTGTGTGTGTGCATGCATGGAGGGGATGAGGAGGGTGAGTGCAAGGCCAGGCTAGGGAGGCTTTCAGGTGGAATAAAAGCGTTACTGCAGTGGTAGAAAGGTCAGCTGTAAACTTGTATCAGGCGGGTGGTGATCACCCTATGCCGCAGATCTCTGAGGTATTGAGCAGGCACGCTCTAATGGCTTTGATATATGGACTACAGGACTCCCTGAAGAGGTCAATACCATAGCACTTTGTCTCTATGAGCAATGACCCTCTCAAGCTCCATTTAGAAGCTTTATAACTGCAGGAAATAGGCTGGAAAGGCCTCGAGCAGGGCACGATGAAAGAGAACTAATATGAATGAAGTATTTTCTAATCACGTCTTCTGTGCTCTAATCGTCGTCCCAATCAATCATTAGTTTGGCGGTATAAGTATATAGCGATGGACGTTATCGGAAGCAGATTTTGATGTGGTTGAAAGAAGAACAAGAGAATCGGAGCTGAATAGAGCCAAAAGAGCTGATTTATCATTACTCCATTCGGGAGGGCAATGACACTGTAAAGACTGGCTTCTAATAGCATTTCATCATTACTTCAGAATCTGGTGAGTCACAGCGTTTAATGAGAGTGAGAGACACGGCTCTCAGCGACAAATTTGTAGATTTATTCGTAGCTTGTCAATGCTCGTCTGTAAAAGAGAGATAAAGCTTAAAGTAGCGAGAGGAAAAATAGAAACCGCAACTGACAGAACACTAAGCTTTGCTTTATTTGGGCCAATTTTTTTTCAAACACGTGCGGACATAATGGCTACCATCGCGGTCCCTTCTGAGCGTATTGATTTGGAGCAACCTTTGGTGTGAAATATGAAAGAAGCCAAATGCTGTTTATGAATGTCTGCTGTAATTGGAATGAGCAGATGTTGCAATACTGTTCCACTGTGTTCAATAATAGACTTTTGCGCTATTTTTCTCCTCTGCCCCTGTCCGTTTTATCCCCTGTTTCCTTTCATTTTCCACCGCTGGCCCATTCTTCTTTCTCCCTGCTGCCCTTTTCCCTTCCTCGCTGTTTCTACCCCATTGCCCTGCGTCTCACCCGCCTCGTTTTCTTCCAGACTCTGTGCTCTGTGCTGTGGCTGTGCTGAGTGACTAAAGTGGAGCCCTGCGAGCCATGGAGGAGATGGACAGCAAACCCTACCAGCCGTTGTCTAAGGGGCGCCATGAAATGGAGATGTCCTACACCAGCTCATCCGATGAGAGTGAGGATGGGCGCACCCATCACCGCTCCTACACATCACGCGAGACCCTGCCTGACTACACACACGAGCTTCGCCTCACCCTCGGTTCACATCGGGAAAGGCAGAGCAACTACAGCCAACCCCAACAAGGTACAAGGTCACGCTTATCATGCTATCAGGGCATGCTTAGGCTGGATATAGTTACCTTGAAATATACGTCCGCGGTTGCAAAGATACTGTATGTGTACTCAAATGGATACTGGCACCAAAAGATAGGCAGACACACACACACACACACAGAGGTCTTTAAAAAGACCTCTGTGAATTACCTATTACAGTCCACAATGAGCCAGAAGGACAGTCGGAGGCAGCCAATTACCTCTTCTCCACGGAGGTGATATTTCTCTCCCACAGCTAAACTAGGTCAACCCCAAACCTCTCTGGCCTCACCTGGGGTGGAACACCACCCTTCATTACACACACACACACAGATACTGACACGGGCAGACAGAGGCACGCATACATGCACACACGCTTGCATATACGCGCATGCACACAACCCGACACGTACACACACCCCGACACGTACACACCGAAAAATGTCTTCCCTGTTGGTGACAGGAGGAGAAATGGGCCAGCATGCGCTGTGATGGATGGCCTTTATGCAGGTCATGTGTGGTGTTAAAAGAGAAGCAGCGCCTCATCGGGAGCACGCCACTGTGCAGGGTTCATGGTGATCAATAGATACTCTTTCCACTATCTCAACCTTGTGCTCCTCTGCAAGACCTACCCACCATGCTAACAAGCGACATTAGCCATTCATAACGGTTACAACTCCTGACAAGCGGCTCGCTCCAGGGATTTCATGGTTTGAATGCCACCTGCTATGGATTTTGTCGTCCTGTTTGCCCATACGGCAACCTGTCAATGGCCATTAGTCATAATGATGCTGCCTCGATATATTCCACGACACTGCGGTGTCAAAAGAGCACTTGCCTTTTTCAGCAGTTACTCGCCTTTCTGTTTCCATAACAAACAACATCCCCTGCCATCAGTGTCATATGGTAAGGTGCACGAGACCCCCCCAAAGCAGCCTTTCAAATGTCAATGGCAGCCGGTTCTGCAAAGCACATCTGTTCATCTTTGGGCCACAGAGTTATATATAGTATACCCTACCAAAGTAACCAACTGTTAAGGGGGGACATTGCCTCCAGTGACATTTTTAATGGATTACGGTGTTCGTGACAAAGATCAGCCAATTCGTTTCTCATTTAATTCCCCACCCATGTTCTTCATATTTTCCTTCATCTTTTAAGCCTCCCCATCTTGCCCTCTCCTCCCGTCCCTTCCGGTTCCTATCCTTCCTTTTCTTTTTCCCACGTGTTTCACTATCCACTAATATTACAAATTCCTCTCTCTTTCCATTTAATCCCACATCACCTCCTTTCTGCGCTGCACCTGTCTGTGCTAAGCCTGTTTACTTTGGACAGATACTGTTGATAGATGGCCAGATAGACAGCCAGGTCCCCAGCGACGTGACCATTTTACAGAGCTGAAAAACGAATGACCAAAATAATTACATTTTTTTCCTCTACTAATGGATGCTAATTAATTCGTGCTTTTTCAGCATGCTGTTTAGAAAGCCAGAAATGCATCACAGTTTAAATATTTGAATTAAGTAAGAATCTGATTATTTATGAACCTTTTTCCAACTAATTCATTTCACATTCTTGCAAAATACCTTCTGATGACACCAAATAGACAAAACCAGAAGTTCTCTGTAAACTGCTCTGTTATTAACATACATATACATAAACATACAAGGCTCCTGCCAACTCTTATACTAAAAAGAGCAAAAAAATAAACAAATAAATAAAAGCGCTGCGCATGATCCCAGCCGATCACACAGAGGGGCAGTGTACGTGCCCCCGAGTTCATTAGGTTTACAAACATTATTGCTAAGAGTGCACAATAACAATTAAAAGTGTCTCAGAGGGGTTCTCGGAGTTTCTCTCCTTTTAGAGAGACTTCAGTTAGTTAATCAAACCTAATCTGTAATTAAGAATAGATTTTAAAAAGCAAGTGGCCGTTTAGAATCCTCAATTAACCTAACCCCAATAAATGCACGTCTTTGGACTGTGGGAGGAAGCCGGAGAACCTGGAGAGAACCCACGCAAACACGGGGAGAACATGCAAAGTCCACACAGAAAGACTCCGGCCACACGGCGGAGTCAAACTCAGGACCTTCTTTCTGTGAGGCAACAGTGCTACAGTCCCAATGTGGACTCTATATATGACCCCAAGTTTAATTACTTATTTGATTGAAAGAGTTAGAAATACTTTTATAAATGTGCAAGCTCTTAACTCAAACAGAGAAAGAAACACAAAGCTAAAATTTGGGATCCAATTCAGGGATTTTGTACATTATATTCAGCCTACTTTCTTGTGATTGTTTTTACCCAAACTGCTTGGCAAATAATGATTTTTGCTCATGACAGGTACTTACGAGATTGGAAGAAAGCACAGTAATATAAAACAGTCACATAAATAGTCCGGAGGCCTGAGCGGGTGACTGTAATGGCAGGAAATGGGAAGTTCTTCAAAGAAAAATATTGTCGCTCTAATCACTTTCACCCCCGGCCTCTTGTTTTATCATAAATACGTTTCAAAACAAAGCGGTTAGACAACTTTTCAGTTTGCAGTCAATCCGTGTTTGTTGCTACTGGGAAATGGCCAATTTGCTTCCAAATTGCCCTCTTGCAGCCAATTTGAACTAAACAGTAGTGTGGAGTGGTGACCAATCTTTGGCTGCTTTAATTCCAGCAGAACAGTATGTGAGCCAGACTTGGTCTTGACCCCATCAAACAGGCACAGCAGGACACATCGCTGGTCAATGAAGTGGTCAACAGGACTGCGGCTTTTATTGAAACACTGCGGTTCATGTTCAGAGGACCTGACCTAACACGCGTATTAGCTGCGCTAAGTGAGAAGGAAGGGAAGTGTTTCTTTCCTCTGTTCTCAGAGGGGCCTGTGGTACCAGGCTGCTATCTGTATGGATTTCAATTGATGCCCTCATTTCTTCACAATTACATCAGTTCCTTCACTTCCACTTATACATTCTAAACAGAAAACTCATGTGGTGAGAAAGAAAATTTACTCAACTGCCTCTACAGGAAAAAAAAAAGTAGCACTCAATTGAATTGAATTGAATTGAAGTGTAACCAGAGGACTAACACAGTATATCTGATGTTCTCAGATAACAGGTTGATGCTCGGGATTGGAGGGCGTTCTAATACCTGAAAGCATATGAGGCTCAATTTTTCCCTCAGTCTGAGTCAATATTAATAAGGTTTGATCTTTATCTGATCTCTTCACCCCACCAAGGAGAATATAGATGAGATCAGTGCTCTGTTTGAGCAGCAGTTCAATACATCTCGAGCTCAATAACACACATCAGGCAGCCCGAACAGGATATAGCCTCACTGCAAATGGTTAAGAAAAATTGAGGCTGGCATTTTGATTTGGACCTCTGCTAAAAAAGAAGAAGAAAAAAAAAAACTTTTAATAAATGCTTGCTCAAATAACAGCCTGCCTGTTGGAATAATTTGGGAGGTGTTCGCTGTTTGGCTTGTAAATGCCTGTCTTTAGCAAACACCTGGTCAGCTTAGTCGCTGAAGCAAATAAAAAACACACGCCAGTATTAGAGGCTTTGCAGTTCTTTGGCTGTGCGAGCTCATTTTGCATGTCTCCCCTCCCTCCCTCTAGATTTAGACTTCTGTAAGGCCGGGCAGTTGAGGAGCCCAGACTTTCACATCCACCAACAGCAGCAGCAGCAGCAGCATCAGCAGCATCAGGAGGAGGAAGAGGAAGTGTTGTGCTCTGGACCGACCGGGCACGTCCACAGCCACGGCTACTCCCTCGGTGTGGGTTCGGACGTGGACACGGAGCCGGAGGTGGACCCGTCTCCCGCTCACGGCCTGCAGCACATGTGGATGCGCGGCCTCAAGTCTGAGCAGAGCTCCTGCCTCACGAGCCGCGCCAACTCCGCCCTCTCTCTAACTGACACCGAGCACGACAGGAAGTCTGAGCCTGACAATGGTGAGTGGGGAAAAAACCCTCTCTTCTTACTCGTTAATGGGATTGTCCATCAGCAGTGGAGATCAGCTTGGCAGATAATTTAGTAGCACACCTTTGATGATTTTCTTTTCTACAAGCAAGGAGAATGCAGCATGTGGTGAAGTGAGATGGTGTTTCACATCCTACACTTATAGCCTCATTATAGAAAAGAGACGCAAAATAAACGCAAAAAGAAAAACAACACCTAACATTCTTCTTTTTTTTGAGATTTAAGTTACACCCCTGGGCCATTGCGTGATTGAAACTCTCAGTATTTGAACTAAAGCTAATGCTTAAGTTCCTCTTTCTTTGAAGGCTATTTGATATGACTAAATAGAGTAAATGTACTATTGGTTATTTAGTCTCTGAAGTGAGCTCTTATTGAAGGTGAAGCTGGGGTTGACTCTGAGCTCAAGGAAAGTCCAGTGATGAACATCCACAGAATATGAGTTGGAAAAAGGATTGGAGATTTTGGATTAAAGGAATTGTAGCGGTCCCATGTCTACAGTGCCTGACTGGCTGCCTGAGGGCATCTGACAACCGCCTCTGTGGGAAGACTCTAGCCTAGAAGGAAGGAGAAGTTGAGAGGCAGGCGAGGTGGGGAGGGGGTGAAGATATTGGGCCAACTAGAGAAGAGCCTGGGATGGTGCCAGCTATCTGTCTTGCGCTGCTGGGCTTGGCTGGGCTCCCTGCAGATGGAGAGTTAGTTAGAGGTGCACGCAAACAAAGACAGAGCTCTCCAACCCATCCCCAAGGGCACTGTCTGTTTATGTGCCGCAAAAAAGGTGGAACGTATTCAGTGGCTGAGAAAAGGAAGGGTGATGGAGAAAAAGAGAGAGGGGAGAAGGAGAAGGGGCAAGCAAAAAATGCAAATGAGAGAATAGAAATGGTAATGTAATGGTATAATTAGAATGAGAATAAAAGGGAATGAGTGGTTGAGGGTAAAACAGGTGAAGGAGACGCTAGTTTCAAGTGAGTGCTAGACAAAGATGGTGAAAGACTGGGAAGACAGAGGAGAGAGCGAAAAAGGAGCTAGAAAGGTTTTGGGATGCTTGGGAATAGCTGGTGCACTGGACAGGAAGTCAGCGTCACTGAAAATGAGGGTGAGAGAGAGCGGGAATGCTTGCAGCAGTACACAGTAATCAATTTGTGATGGCTGCGTGCATATGGTCCAAAGATATTACCATTTCAGATGAGGGACTCTGTCTTTATCCGGGGTCAGAATTAAAACTGCAAAAAAAAAAGAAGAAAAAAAGGTGGAGGCAGCTTTGAATGCAGCAGACAGCAGGGAATAAGGATGGATGAAGTCACAGACGTAAGAGGGGAGGATTAAAATGTTCAAAGTGTTGGGCTTTGCTGCTACAGTGCGCCAGGAAAGCCGGTTTATGTGTGGATTTCATGTGTCACATGATGATGTAATGCATGTCCTGTGTTTCTCTCTCCAAACTTTTCTCAAGAACACGCTCTCCCCCCTTTTCACTCACACCTATGCTCCTCTGCTGCGTCCGTATCCTTTTTACTCTGCAACCTTATTCCCTCTCCACCACCGGCAGCAGCCCATTTATTCTTATCCTCTTCCTGTCCATCTCTCTCTGAGACATGGCCAGGTGTGTCCATGCGTGGCATCCTCTAATAGGAAATGTATTATGGATGTCACATTTCTCTCCATCAGCACAACAAAGTCTCACACGCCCCTCTGTTCCCGGGCGATAATGAAAGTTAGAGGCACTCGCAAAAAGATGTTGGCGTGAAGGGGCTGAAATCTAAAAGCTAACGTCCCTGCCAAAATGAAAGTGCATTTTAAGTCGGCCCGACCTTGCACTCCCTTTGTCTTCAGAGCTCACCCCCCCCAAACCTATTAATGATGTCAGCTTCAAACTGGCAGGAATCCTTTTGTTCCTGGTCTGATTGAAGCTGACAAGTCAATTTAGTCCCCGTGTGTGTGTGTGTGTGTGTGTGTGTGTGTGTGTGTGTGTGTGTGTGTGTGTGTGTGTGTGTGTGTGTGTATAGGTGTGAGAAAATAGAGAGAGGGCTCGACAGATTAAGAAAGAGTAAAAGAAAAGGAGATTCAGCTTGTGTGTGAAGCCACATTTGTACAGATGTCTGTCTTTATTCTCTTTCATGTTTGCGTGTGTGTGTGGGAGGCTGTGTGGTGGGGTGTGTGTGTCCAACTGTGACACCTCCCTTGAGGAAGGCTGCAGGCATTTTCGAGCGCCAGTCAGACCTGCTGACAAACTCAGGAAAGCATCAACACCCCGAATTGACGACAGTTCATCGCAAGAACAGAGGAGATTGGCAGTAGAAAGAAAGTGTAGTTCAGCTGGAGTTCACTACTGGGAGATGCACACACACGTACACCACTTACAATACATGGACAAAAGTATGTGGACAACCAGGTGTCAGTCTAAAATTATGGGCTGCAGTATACTTTTATCTGGGAAAGCATTACATAAGACTTGGAAACCTGGAGTGGTAGTGAACACTGATTCTAAAGTAGTTCATCCCAAAAGGAGCTGGCTGGGAATGCTCTGGAGTGAGTGACCTGAAGGTGTACCAACTACAGGTTAGTGAGAAAACATGATAACAAATCATCAGAAAGACGATAGTTGTATTGCAGAATAAATGGACTGGACAGTAAAACTGACTGAAGGAGTTCAGGCCTCGGGTGGCCAGCATGCAATAAATCTTTTGACTTGAGCTTGTAAACTGTGTAAGTCTGAGTGTGACAGCTCGTGTAAGTGTAGCAAAGCTAAGAAATCCATTTCATTGTTTATGTTTTTAGGTGTATATATGAATAATTTAAAATGCCATCCCTGTTGTGCTGCATGCATAAATGTGCACAAAACAAATCTTTGGCTTTGGTGATGCACATATCAGTCCTCCCTCTGTATCTGCAAGGATTTATAATATTAATAAACCTAGAGGGAAGACTCCCACATTCAGCTGTAAGCAACAGACTAAGTCCAGTCATGCTCACTAGTTCTATTTTTGTGGACTTGAAATCAAAGTGAATCAGGCAGAACTGTGGTCAAATGAAACACACACACACACACCTCCTTAGTCTCAGGGGCTCTGTAATTTTTATAGACTAGATTCTGCAGCTTTAGTCCCATGTGCGGGAGAAATCCTGTTTAACCTATTACAAATATTTTTTTCCCCAAAAAGCAGAGGCTTGAGACAGATATTACATATTGGTCTGATACTGACGTAAATTACTGGAGTGGATATCGGAGAGAAATAAAAAATGTAATCTGATCCATTAAATATCAAAAAAAGCACCTCACAGAACTTGCGACACTGCGTAACTCGGCCCATATCCGTAACACGTCGGAGCAGTGTGGTCACGTGATAAAGCAGCTGTGTGTATTTGTAGCCTCGCTACCAAACCAGCATTTCATCTCCGAGGAAGTTATCCCAGAGAGAAGTAAAGCAAGTGTGTAAGTTCATCTCTGAATGTTTGTAAAGCATTCCCACGTTAAGCTTAACAACCGATATATGGAGCGACTGCCTCCTCTCTCCCTCCCTCTCCTGCTGCTACTTCAATTATGAAACTGATCAGTGATCAGCTGATCGGCTTTTCTGTCGCTAGTCCATCTCTCTTGTTTGTTTATCGCCCACTTCGCGCCAGAAAGAGGAAACCAGCGGCTGAACAACAGCAGCACGTTTAAGCTTGATAAGCTGTTGTTAGAATTTATTTAATATTACTTTCTACACCATCCATTTCTATGTAGCTGACGGCTGGTAACTGTGCAGGGGCGGATCTAGCAAAGTTTAGCCAGGGGGGCCGATAGGGCATGAACAGGGAAAAGGGGCACAAAGACATACTTTTCTTTCTTATTCTCATTTAAAATGTCGAGCTTTTAATAAATAATTATCTGAATCTTACACCCAAAGTTTTAATCTTATGTAAAATGTATAGAAGTCCATTACTGTATATAGTAACTGTTAAGTCTAATATACCCTAGTAAGCTATACTACTTTTTCCTTTGGGAAGGTACCATCTGTGCAGTCTGCAATTCTGTTGAAGAAAGATGTTGAAACTATTTAATTATTGTAGAAAAATAATTTATTTCTGCGCATTTTTTTTCCCACACTGCATCAAATTAAAGTTGATTACGTTAATTAAGCATCATAAGGTGGAGGGTGGTTCCCTTTTTCTTTTTCTTTTTGCTGGGAGTTTGCAACCCTATTAGTTAGGTTGCTTAATATTTCTGCTAAGTACTCTTTAAAATACCAGAATAGGAAGGATTGAGTAGGTTTAAGTTTATTAGATTGATCAGTTTTGCTGAACTATGAAATATTTTCGGTGCAGTATATTTTTTACATACAGGTATAACAGAATAGCTTTAGTGTTGTTGTTTATTTAAACTTGAGTATAAATTTATACAAAATGCAGCAATATATTAAATTATATTATTATTATTATTGATTAAAAAACACACTATATCGGATTCATATTGGTATCGGCAGATATCCAAATTTATGATATCGGTATCGGACATAAAAAAGTGGTATCGTGCCATCTCTAGTTCAAACCTGCCATTAACTATGAAGCTTAAGCTGGAAACCCATTAGTTGATTTCTTTGAAGAGTAGAGAAACACAGAAAGAAGCTAGTCTCACCACCCAGTTGCGCTTTTGTGTTTAATCCATATAAAAACAGGGATGTAAAAATATCAGTTTATTGAGAAAGATACATAGTATTTGTTTAACTGTTATTTTATGTGTAATGCTACAGTCACAAAACTGTGTTGGAGACAACAGCGCAAACTAAATTATTGCAACCGTGTTCAATGACCTCTTGATCTTGTTGGCTTTTGAAATGGTTATTTGGTGCACATAGATGACAATAAAAGAGCAAACGCAGTCAGTCTGCCATCTGTCTGCAACTGAATGGGGTTAAGGTAGCAATTACATGCAATCTGTTTGTGGTAATACGTGATTATCTGTGGTAAACTGTCAAACAATTGCAGGTTTGTTGCC